AATTTAAAATATGCATACAAAAAAATTAAAGGAAAAAGCGCGGCACGCCTGCTGGACCACGCATGGGCTCCTTGCCTTGCTCCTTGCCTGGTTGGCCTGTCCCATTCTTCCACCTTTTTACAAGACGGATCATGGAACCAACCACCAAACGACGGGAGAGGCCCACTCCTTGGTGGCCCATACTTTGAGGCCTTTTCATTTTTCAACCTGGAATGTTCTCTGGGTCCCCGGACTCGGCGGCTCGCGCGTGCTGCCGCGGCGTGCACCCGGGCCGCCTCCCGCGACCGTGGTCCGCGACTGCAGCCCTGTAGCAGAAGGCCGCCGATGGAGATCACGAGATGGCCGTGCCGTTGCCGTGAGAGTATCTCACTGCCGTGCCGAGGACGTCGTCCGTCGTGTAATCTAGCGCTGGGCCGGCCGGCTGCTAGACGCGATTCCATGGCATTGTCATGATGGCAACCGAGTGACGGCCAAAGTCGTTTGTCGTGACTGTCATGAGGAGCAATGGTCGAGTCTCATGCTGATGATGCTGGCCTAGGACAAGCATTTTTCCTGTTCTTTGTTGGTTCTCTGATCCATCGATGTACTGGACGGACACGGACCCAGCTGCAAGCAACAAATCAGTGTAGCAGTGCCGGAACTGTAGCAATACGGACACTCTTGGCTGGCTCTGGCTCATGTAGTTATATGTGCTGTGTCTCTGCACGGCGTGTTTTGTAGAATCGGTCGCGGCAGTCACAGGACAGCCAAGTGGAAACAAATCCTTGGTAAGTGGAGTATTAATCGCCCTATTTGTTTGGGTTTGTTTGACTGATAAACCATAGCTGAAAGTACTGTTGGCTGATTTGGTGTAAGAGAAAAATATTATTCGTTAACTAGAAAAATACGGCTTATAAGCTAAACAAGCCCAAGCGACCATGCGTGCAATGGCTTATCAGTCGCTTGATTTGGCCACGCTGAATCCTGGGTGGAGAGCAAGTAATCAGCCGCTTGATTTGGCCCGCCCGGCCGGTTCAGCGTGTTAGGCGCTGTCGCGCTCTTGATGGCGCCGGCACGCACGGCATCCCCTAGGTCACGGCCAGCATTAAACTTTGGAACAGCACCAGCAGCTGCGCCTGCACGCGTCATGCGTGCAATGCACCGGCCGGCCGGGCACGCAGGCAGGCGCAGGCAAGGCAAGGCCATCCTTTCCTACGCAGTACGACGCGTTTAAAAACCGTGGCGCCCACCCGCTGCCTCTGTCTGCCCCAGATCAGATCACGCCACTTCTCTGAACAACAACCAGGCCGAGATCTGATCTGCCCGCCAGCGTGTTCGTTTCGTCATAAATAATCGTGGATTATTTATTGCTGGTTAGTTTAGTATGAAAGAAAAATATCATTTTAATATAATCCACGACTTAGGTGAACATGCTTTCCTGGCGCATCGCTGCTTGGAGCGGCCTGCCCCCTGACGGGCCGGCCGTGCGCTCCCGTGCTACGTACCGTACCCGTGGTGGACTGGTGGTGCGCTGCTCTGTGTTCCAGGCTAGCCGTGGCCGCCCTAGCTGGAGGGGGGGCCGGCCCTGCATGTGCGGCTGTTTACTTCACCCAACAGGTGCGCTGCTACTGTCTGTCACACGCCGTAAGCTCTAATGTTCTACTGTATACTGTACTGTGTGTAGTCGGTAGTCCAACACAGTAGAGTACAACTTGTTCCGTTTCACCTCCCCGTTCCGTCGTTTCTGCTGCATCTTTGTCCCCGTCCCGTTTCCGTTCCATGTGGCTAGCTGCACGCTGCACCGCAGGCTGTGACGTTTAGTACTCCATCTATCTTGATGCCCGCACAAGTTTTTTTTACTGGTGAGCGTCAGAAAGCTCTGGTGAGGAAACCCCCGACCTGGCGCACGTACGAGTTTTCCCTTTTTATATATACCGGTGATGAGAGACTGAGGCTCTGTGGGCTTCGTCGAAAAAACAAATTGAAACGCTATTTCGGTTGATTTATTGTGAAAGAAAATACTGTTCCGGCTGAAAAAACAAGCTGAAAAGTATGAATTATAAGAGAAGCGAATAGGGCCTGAGAGTCTGCAAAGGTGTCTACCAGTAATGCCCGGCCAGATAGTATAACAATAATACATAACTTCTCGTTTAAATATAAGGCGTAAAGTTTTGGATGTCACATCGGGTGTCATATGAGGATGTCGCAAGAAGTGTTCGGATACTAATAAAAAAATAAATTACAGAATCCGTAAGTAATCCGTGAGACGAATTTAAAACATAATTAACCGTCATTAGCACATGTGTTACTGCAGCACCACATTGTCAAATCATGGACTAATTAGACTTAAAAGTTCGTCTCGTAAATTAGTCGCAAACTGTATAATTATTTATTTTTTTAGTCTATATTTAATACTCTATGCATTTGTTCAAATATTCGATAAGATAGAGAGTAAACTCCGGAGAATGAACTATCAAGACCTAAACTGACTCGTTGCGATTGTTACAACGTGACGAGTGACTGCTCACTCGTCTAGTTACTGTTCGGATTGTTAGAGCGGCCTCCTGATCTGGATTTGCGGCTCACTCATCTCCTCAGTTCAGCGCTAACGTCGATCTGGATCTGAGGAGTCACGTCCGATCAGATAGGGTTTTATCACTTGACGCGATCTGTATGGGACGGGTGCACTGCAGAAGTGCAGATAAGGCGTAGAGGGAAGGTAGGGACAGCGGACACGTGTTCCTGATGCGTCGTTATTCGGCCTGTTTCTGGTTAATTTATAGGCTGATAAACTCAATTAGTATCGATTTATTGTAAGAGAAAAATATTATTAGTTGACTTATAAGTCCTGGCTAAAACCAACGAAGGAACGGATCAATTATGGTCTCATTGTCTCAACTTGCGTTGCGCGTGCCATCAGTCTCTACCCTGATCTACTCCTATACGAGGTCTTGTTTAGTTCGTGAATTTTGAGAATTTGGCTACTATAGACTTTTCGTTTTATTTGACAATTAGTGTTTAATCATGGACTAATTAGGCTCAAAACGTTCGTCTCATAATTTTCAACCAAACTGTGTAATTAGTTTTTTTTTCGTCTACATTTAATGCCTTATACGTATTGCAAAATTTGATATAACAGCTACTATAACACTTTTTGAGAATTTGATTGGGAACTAAACAAGGTTATACTATTCTTCTTTTGCGGCTGGAAGGCTGCCCCGTCTGTTCTGCAGGCAGTTCCGCTGCCGCGACCCGCGTTTACCCGATTATTGCCTTTTCCGGATATCGGATCGTCAGGAAAAACCGATCAGATCCTTTGACATTTTTGCTGGCGCGTGACTGGACTGACTGGGATTTCAGATCAGGGTTCCACAAAATTGCCAAATTTGATACTATAAAAAAGAAGATTTCCCATCACATTAAATTTACGGTACATGCATGCATGGAGTACTAAATGTTGACGAAATCAAAAACTAATTGTACAGTTTGGTTGTACTTTACGAGACGAACGTTTTAAGGCTAATTAGTCAACGATTAGACAATTAATACCAAATAAAAACAAAACAGCACTGTAGCTACAGTGTATCTACAGTGTGTTTGACGGCGCCGAGTCGGCGGAACTAAACGTGGCCCAGATTGGGGGAATAGTCGCCGGGTTCTCGGTGTGCGCGGGGCTTGCGAGATAAGGATCGGAGGAGAAGGTCCCATGCATTTCGGCGTCACCGAAGCGATAATCAGCGCTCGGGCGGCCCGGAACGCCCGAATTTCTAAACGGACGACGTGTTTGTGCGTGTATCACAACAAGAACCGAACGTTGGTAGTAGTAGGAGCAGTAGCGAGGTAGCCTACTCTCAGTATGCTCCTGGTCAGAGTCCATTAATGAGCAACGGACTAATGATAATAGAGCTTTTTATCCCTTGTGTTGAAAAATGTCGTCTATTGATTTTCTAGAATACGCAAAATATTTACGCATCTTTGTATTAAAATCGAAAAATAGTAAAAGTTACAACGACACGCTACGAACATGGCACACTAAAGTGAGGGTGTTAGTGTTATACAGTCGGCTCTACCTTCCCTAGCATAAAGAGAATATGAGCTATTGCTCGCTAATCATACCACGCAACCATCATCGGCGATCGGAAAATATCGTCCATTGTGTATTTGAGTTGAAGTCTCAAGCAACAGTTACAGCTAGCTAATCGACCGTTGGTTACCAAGATACTAAGGCCCCGTTCGCTGGTCTAAAACTTGGCTGAAATTGACTGAAAAACACGGTTCCGGTTGAAGCGTGGTGAGAAAAAACATTGTTTCGGCTGAAAAAAAAAGCCGAACAAGTCGAAATATGGGTAAACCGACGTCTCTATTTGCGGAGTAAACCACTAATTAATCCGCGTACCGTACTGTACTCACCAGATCGCTAATCTCATTGCCGTACAAGTACTGCACAGCTTTTTACAGCCACTGGGAGTAGTTTGCGGGGTATGCTACACACTGGGAAGACGTATGCCGGCGAAAGAAAACAAAAAGGAAAGGTGCCACGAGTCCCGAGCACAGATCACACGTCCACCAGCCAAAAGGACAACAAACAGAACACGCCACTGGCACTAGGCACTGTGATACTCGATCCCACTTACACACGGGTCCAAAACTGACAGCTGTGTTTTAGTCCCACCAGTCAGTGAGCAGTAACTAAGTTGGTGCGGCTTGGTCCCCGCCGCCCGACACCAGCACGGTCAAATTCACCAGTCGTCGACCTTTGACGTTCGGTCGCTGTAGATTCCCGGGGTGAAAAAAAAAGCTGCTCAGTAAAGGCGGCGAGGACGAGCGCAATAAAGCCTCGGGCCCTCGGCACTCTTCGCCAGCCTTCACTGCGGCACTGCCAGCTTCCCCGTGCGCAAGCTGTGCTGCTGCTCGCCGGCGCAGGCGCAGCGCCCACTCGGCCACTCCCCGGCCGCTCTCGTCACTCCGCCTGCTGGTAATCGGTGAGCCCCCTCCGCCAGTTCCACCCCTTGGTTTCCTGTTCACTTCACATCTTCTTCGTCCTGCACCTTCCTCCCCATCTCAATCGCTTGCGGTAGCGGACTCCGCTTCACACGCGTCAGTTTGGGGAAGGGAAGGTGGCTTTCCAGGGCCTTCCAGGCTTGCCAGCGCCCGCCACCGACCCTTCCTGGCTTCGTCCCGGGGTGGAGACTGGAGAGGCCACAAAATGCTAAAAATCTTTGTAGGCAGATGTGGATTTGCGAACCACCTGCCCTGTCTCGGGCTCTAGCCTCTAGCAGAGGAGGTGACGCGGATGCGTGATGGTAGTGGTAGCGTCGTACCCATCCATGGTGTCCGTTCATGTCATGGCATGGCTTCGTTGTCTGTGGAATGGTGTAGTAGTAGTAGTGGAGAGTGACCAGCTTGCCACCTTGGGTTCTTTTTGAATTCCTGATGCCAGCCTCGCACAGGCAACCGCGGAGGAGCTCGCTGATGGATGCGCGCTCCACGCGAGGAATTGTTCTGAATTTCTTATACGAGCAAATCTGCCTTGCTTGCACGCTGCCCATGGCCAGCTTGCTGAAAAATTTCTTATACAATTTTTTTATCAAAAAGAAATATTTGGATGCCAGTGGCCCTGTACCAGTACTAGTTATTTAGTGATTAGTAGGCCTGATCTTGCAAGTCCAAGACTTCTCCTAACTAATCCACAACTTTCCTAAGTGGTTATGCTGTCCTATTCTGCTGCTCCACGGTCTGAACCTGGCGATGCAGAGCAAGGCCTCTGGCGCATAATAGCCTAAACGTCTTCGGCTCAAACGTCCCTGTCAGAGCGATGAAACAATTCGACGCAGCGGCAGCAGGCGGTGCTGGCCGGGCGAGTGAATTCTAGTGCAGACACGCACAACTCATAGACGCCGCTCGTGGTGCTGCATTCACGAGCTGAGTGGTGGAGGTCGAGAGATCGTATGCTCAACCGTCGTTGGCGACAGCTTGTTTTAGGTCCCCCCTACTAATCACGACCCTTGTTTCTTTTGGTTTCTTTTGATTTTGTTGCCTTGCCATCCGTCTTCATGTCGGTGCAACGCTCATGGGCCACTGATAGACACATCCACTGGTGCTTATAAGAGGAATCCGGGTTCCGTTCCTTTGAGGACATCCTCACCCTTCCTGGGCAGCAAGCATAAAGCTTTTCTGCATTGTTTTTCTTGCAGGAAATATTCCTGCCTTTTGCATTTGCGGTCGTGCTCATGCGGATTGCTAGCTCCTTACTTTGAGTCGAGTATATATATATTCTGAGGTATTCATTGTGCTAGCTTCTGAAAGAGTCGTGTGCTCATGATGTTGTGGTGCCTATAGTATTCTGTTCATACTGCATTTTATGCTTTATCACCCCCTTTCTTTTGTGCCGGCTCAGTTCAATCAATCCAGGTTAGGTAGCTTTGGGTTCGTTTTCCCTATAAACATGCTGGGTTTCAGCAACTTTACGCGGTTTCGAACAAAGAAAGGCAGAAAACGCACCCGATTTTAAGTTATCTGCTCCCTTTTGTGCGTGTTTTTGTTTTTTTATGATGTTTACGGCAGCATCTGGAACTGGTCCAATTCTAGAGTTTTATGTATGTGTTTTTTAAACAAGAGACTTGTACTATAATATTGCATATTTATTGAATAAGCTTTATTGAACGTTAACTCATCTGTTTGGCATCCTTCTGCCAGGTCTATATATAGGTGGTTCGTGGTGATCAGAACCACACAGGCAAGATGGCGAACGTGCACAAGATCACCCTTGTTCTCATGTTCTGCCTGCTAGCGTTGGGGAGAGCAGAGTACCTCAAGTACAAGGATCCGAAGCAGCCTATCGCTGTTCGCGTCAAGGATCTGCTGAGTCGGATGACTCTTGCTGAAAAGATTGGCCAGATGACCCAGATTGAGAGGGAAAATGCCACAGCCGACGCACTGGCGAAATACTTCATAGGTATGTCAGATTATACTAACACTGAAAAAATGCAGAAGGTGATAGACTGGCGAGTATGCGTTTGACATTGCCGTGGTGTTTTTCAGGTAGCGTACTGAGTGGCGGAGGCAGTGTGCCTTCTCCTCAAGCATCTGCTGAGGCTTGGGCCTCCATGGTGACTGAGATGCAGAAGGGCGCTCTTTCTACACGTCTAGGTATCCCGATCATCTACGGTATTGATGCCGTGCATGGTCACAATAACGTCTACAAAGCTACTATTTTCCCTCACAACGTTGGGCTTGGAGCTACCAGGTACAAGCTGCACCTACTTTGCTATGCCTTTCAATATGCCTGTAATTATGTTGTGACAAGCATTTGTCGCTCTATATTATTATGTTGATGTGCTGTTGTAATTCTATTCCAGGGACCCTGACCTCGTTAAGAGAATTGGAGAAGCAACTGCTCTTGAAGTTAGAGCTACTGGAATTCCTTATGTCTTTGCTCCCTGTATTGCGGTAATAAAGGCATTTCTTCCTGCTGCACTGTGGATGTTTCATTTCGGTTATAAATGTCCCTTTTTTTGTTATCCCTTTAAACTCATGCCTGTAGCTTACATGATATTGCCCAGGTTTGTAGAGATCCAAGATGGGGACGCTGCTATGAGAGCTATAGTGAGGACCCAAAGGTTGTCCAGTCATTGACTTCACTCATCTCTGGCTTGCAAGGCGATGCTCCTGCGGATTCCGTGGGAAGACCATATGTTGGTGGAAGGTATTACTATACCGAACACATAATAGCTAGATTGTCTTCCTTCATGGCTTAGAGCCAGCTTCTGTTTTAAAAGGTGGAAGTAGACAAGTAATGTTCAATTCCAACGCTGAACTAAAATTGTTTTCGCTGCTGTACTCTACAGTAAGAAGGTTGCTGCATGCGCGAAGCACTATGTTGGTGATGGTGGAACGTATAAGGGAATCAACGAGAACAACACGATCATCAACACACATGGACTGATGAGCATCCATATGCCTCCTTACTATAACTCTATTATCCGAGGTGTCTCTACAGTCATGGTCTCGTACTCCAGCTGGAATGGAGAGAAGATGCACGCAAACCATTTCCTAGTCACAGATTTTCTCAAGAACAAGCTCAAGTTTAGGGTCAGTTGGTCATTACAAAGGCTCTATATTTTTCTGTTTATATATTTACGTCAGCTACATACTCAAATTTGAACTTCTTTCGCAAACAGGGTTTTGTGATTTCCGACTGGGAGGGCATTGATCGGATCACTAGTCCTCCTCATGCCAACTATTCTTATTCAATTGAGGCTGGAGTTGGTGCTGGTATTGACATGGTGAGAATAAGATATGTGAAACATGTGCACTAGTTAATTTTTTCTTCAAAAAACAGTAGCATAAGGACCAGCCTTTTTACTAAAAAAAGAAAACTTCCTGAAAAGTAATATATCTTTGATTTAGATAAGGACGGCGCTGATAAATTATTTTTGGACTTGGTTCAGATAAACTATTATGGGAGTGAATGACGGCTTGCTTCTCATCTTCTTAGTTACCACTTAATCATCGGTTCGAATGCAATATTATGTCTGCTAGCTGACCATGCCCTGAAATTATCATATGCAGATCATGGTTCCATTCAGATACACAGAATTCATCGATGATCTCACGACACAAGTTCAGAACAAGGTCATCCCCCTGAGCAGAATCGACGACGCCGTTTACAGGATCCTCCGTGTCAAGTTCACCATGGGTCTATTTGAGAATCCTTACCCCGATGCTAGCCTTGCGGGCGAACTCGGGAAGCAAGTCAGTTCTTAACACCACATGCTCGTCTGCATACACGCTGAATATGGTTACTGATGGATCTACTTATTCGCGCCTTGATAGGAACACCGGGAATTGGCACGTGAAGCCGTCAGGAAGTCCCTGGTTCTTCTGAAGAACGGAAAGTCCGCACCGTTGCTGCCCCTCCCGAAGAAGGCTGGTAAGATTTTGGTCGCTGGTAGCCACGCCAATGACCTGGGCAACCAGTGCGGAGGATGGACGATCACATGGCAAGGAAGCAGCGGCAACACCACTGCTGGTGAGTGGCGCCTCCTTTTCCGTTTCGCTTGCAGCCATCACACCTGAGATTCGTGACCAACAACGAACTAACTTGAGATGGGATGTGGATGGAACAGGCACGACGATCCTCTCCGGAATCGAGGCCACCGTGGATCCCAGCACGCAGGTGGTGTACTCAGAGAACCCGGACAGCAGCGTGCTCGCCGACAAGTACGACTACGCGATCGTGGTGGTCGGGGAGCCGCCGTACGCGGAGACGTTCGGCGACAACCTGAACCTGACGATCCCGGCGCCCGGGCCGAGCGTGATCCAGTCGGTGTGCAAGGCCACCAAGTGCGTGGTGGTCCTCATCTCCGGCAGGCCCCTGGTGGTGGAACCGTACCTGGGCGACATGGACGCGTTCGTTGCGGCGTGGCTGCCGGGGTCGGAGGGGCAGGGCGTGGCGGACGCCCTGTTCGGCGACTACGGGTTCACGGGGAAGCTGTCGCGGACGTGGTTCAAGTCGGTGGACCAGCTGCCCATGAACGTGGGCGACAAGCACTACGACCCGCTCTTCCCGTTCGGCTTCGGGCTCACCACCAAGGGCACGAAATGAGACGGCGGAGTCGATCGTCCTCGTCGTCGTCGTCGTCGATGAGAACCGGCGCGTGGCGGATGGGCTGTGACCTGTGAGTGAGTTGTGCACTTGTGGAGTTGTGGCTCGTGAGGCTTTCGAATTGGTTGGGGTTGAGTCGGGAACGCTGCACACATTGGGCAGCGTACGTTGGGGGCCTGTGGGTAATAACAGTGATGCATTCTTGAGGCGGTTGTTGTTAGCGTGGGTGGTTTGGAATGAAATGAACAATAAGATCAGGCTCTATACATTCGCTTTGTTTGGAATGAAATGAACAATAAGGCCATGTTTAGATTGCAAAAAATTTCAAACCGATGAATAGTAGCATTTTCGTCTTATTTGGTAAATATAATCTCGTGATCAATTAGTTAGGCGCGATACAGTCGAATTTTGAGGGTATCTAAACAAGGTCTAAGATGAGGCGCGATACATTCGCTCTGGCATGCTACCTCATTGGTTGAGTCACTGTCAGGTTTGCCAGTTTGGGTTCCCCTACAGCCTCTATTATCTTTCAGTCTCGCTCGGCATCGCGCTTCTCTGCCGTGCAAAAGCAAAACAATGGTACGGTATGTAGCCTGCCATAGGCGCGGAGAAACTGCTCAGTAGTTTTTTTTTTTTTTTTTTTGAGAATCAGTAGCTTGTTTACTGCCGCAGTGCCGCTGCAGCCAAACAGATCCTACGTTGATAGTTTCAGTCGCTGTTTCACCCGCACGGCACGGGGCCCTGGTCCGCAAGACCGCAAGCAACCGCAAAGGAAGAAACGGGCCTGTCAGACTATAGGTGCGCCAGGGGAGCCGGGCCACGAAGCGCTGGGCCGCAGGCCCGCGAGGAGGCGCCAGCAGGCCGGGGCTGCTAGAGTCCGGCTGTTCGGACCCTAAGCTCGCGCCGGCCGGGAAATTATCTTTCTCGCCACTCGCGGCGCGCGGGCAGACTCGCGCTGTTCGCTTAACAGGCTGTTACTTTTCAGCGAACGGTCCTCTCACAATATTTCTGCATAAATATAAAGTAAATTTCAGAGTAAACAAACAGTACCAGTGTTTCGATAGCTAGCGCGCGGGCCGTTTGTTTAGTGCACCGTTTCTTTATCAGATATGTATTGAGCTGCCAACGATCCGCGCGTATCGCGTACGTGCTCGATGGCTAGCTTCTGAACATTCCCGAGCAATGCATGGCGAGGCTGGGTCACAAGATACATGGGCTCTGTACGTGAACTCCGGCCCCATGCACATGCTAGCTTGCGTCTTTTCTTCAGTTTCACAAGTACGTGTACGCACGTACATGATTTCTGTTTTCTTTTCTTTGCTAGCACAAATGATATTGACGGCTAATAAACCAACTAGCTTATGATCCTTGTATATATATAAGCAAGCTATATCATTGAGTGAAAACTTTGAACCGTACACTCGACTCACGTATACGTCGAGTATGCAATTTTAGGGAAAAATGCATGGATGCCATTATAAGTCGGCTTATCAGCCGTGGTACAGTATTTTTCTCTCTCAACAAATCAGCTATACAAATCAGCACAAGCGGCTTATAAACCAGCCGAACAAAGCCGATGAACCAAGCTAACTATTAGCTTCCTTCTTTCTCTTATATATTTATTAATTAGCACGCGTAAAGATGCATGCATTCTTCTTTAATAGTATATATATATATATAATACGAGCTCATGCACATATAAACACGTTACATATAGTTATATTTATTTTGAATATTTTGTACAAAATCTCGTCAAACAAGAATATCATTTTATTAAAAAATATACCATGTGACATCTCATGGAATGTAGAAAAATATATGTAAGAGATAAAACAAATAAAAAGATAGTAATCAAAAGTAATAGATAAAATATAAGAAAAGAAAAAAAAACTAAAACACCGAAGAACATCATATAGAAATAGAAATTACTTAAACAACCTAAATATACCATAAAACATTTCACGGATACTACGTGGATACCCAAAGATAATCATGAAACATCTTATTTATATAATGTGGACATTCTAAAACATCACAGAACATGACATGTATACCATGTGAACATAAAAAACATCATAGAACATCACATGTATAACACATGAACATCATCAAAATACATTGTAGAATATCACATGTATACTACATGAACATCACATATTTATCACATAAACATCACAAAACATCACATGTATACGTGAAAATCACAAAACACATCATAGAATATCACATGCATGCTACATGAACATTATAAAATACATAATAGAACATCAAATGTATATTACATGAACATCACAAAAATATATCATAGAACATCATATGTATACTGCGTGAACATCACTGAATATATCATTGAACATCGTATATATACTACGTGAACATCACATGTATATTACATGAATATCATAAAATATATAACAAAACATCACATTAATAATACCTGAACATCATAAAACATCGTATGTATACTACATGAACATGCAAAAATACATTATAGAACATCACATGTATGCTACATGAACATCACAAAATATTACATCATAGAACATCGCATGTATAACACGTGAACATCACATTTATATTACGTGAACATCACAGAACATCACATGTACACAACATGAATATCACAAAAATACATTATAGAACATCATATGTATAATACTTGAACATCGCAAGATACATTACAGAACATCATATATATACTACGTGAACATCATAAAAAATATCATAAAACTTCATATGTATACTACGTGAACATCACAAAATATATCATAGAACATCACATATATACTACGCGAATATCACACTTATCTCATATAATATAGAAAATAAAAAATAAATATTAAAGTAATTAATTAGAGTAAATAACTAAGTAAAAAATTCACATATAAACATAATAACAGATAAAAAATATATAGAAAAAAATAAAATCAATGAATAAGTTAAATAAGGAAGGAAAAAAGATAATTTTAAAAATCATATGGTATATGTACCTTATGTAACATATGAAATGAAAACTTTAAAATAAAAAACGAAAATAGTTCATATAGTAATTAAAAAAGAAACATCAGGGAAATAGAAAAAAATAAAAAATAAATATAAATAGAAAAGACAAAAGTTTAAGAAAATGAAAAAAGAAGAAAGAAACACATGAGAAAGAAAATAAAAATAAATAATAGAAAGGAAAGAAAAAAAAAAGGATAAACGTACCAACCTATGGGTGAACACAGAAAAACAAAAATTAAATGAAAAAAATAATTAGAGTAGAAGAAAAAAGAAATAAAATAAAGAGAAAATAAAATGAAAATAATAATAATAATAAATCACATAAAAAAGTAGAGAAAATAAAAATAATAAATGACGCACTAAAATAAATAAAATAAAATAAAATAAAAAAAATAAAAGAAAAAGAAAAGAAAAGAAATGAGAAGAAATGAGAAGAATAAGTAAAAAAAAAAAGAGAAGCTAACGTACCTGGGTGTTAGCCGTCGCTTTGGTCCATTTGCGTCAACTCCAGAGAAGGATGCATCTCCGTGGGCTGTAGCTGCACTCGTGTGGGCCGCGTCATGGGCCGTTTGCTCGCACACCGCAAATCATCGTTCGGCACCGGCACTCTTCGCGCGCAACGCACTGCTCCGTATCTCCCGAAATTTTTGGCGCGGTGCTCGTTCGGCGGAGGCTTACGGTCCGGCCGTTCGGACCGGAAGAATTCCGCCAGCAGGCCGCTGGCACGTCTTGGCTGTACCGATGTGTAGTGTGAATGTGTGATCGTTGAGCTGTGAGCTGCGGAGGCGGGTGCTGGACCGGATGTGTGCGGCCGGCCGTGCCGAGGCGCACGCACGCCGACGCGTCACGCCGGAGGGCGGAGGCTGCGTGGAAAAGGAGTTGGTAGTGCCGGACTGCTGGCAACGGCACAGGGCACAGAGCATACTAGAAGGCGCGCCTTGGTTGTGCCGGCCGGCCGGCCGGCGTGGCAGTGTTAGACCTTGTTCGTACTTCGTAGCACCTCCACACAGTGCGTCTATGGCGATTTGTTATTGTGCGTACCATATGCTTATTGCGGCAAGGAAATTAAAGGGGTGTTGTCTAAGCAAGGGGGGCAAGGCACGAGCGAACGTGGAGATTATTGAACTCTCAAACCAGGACGCGCATGACACGCACGCAGCTGGACCAATGCATGTGTGCTGCATAGGCTATAACAAGTTGTTGTTGGCCAGAAACCTGGGCTCTTGTTCCGCACGTTGCTTTCGACCGAGGTAAAAAAAATCCTTTGGTCTCAACTCTCAAAAAAATAGCTAGCTAATCTTCCGTAGATTCCAGAGACAAGCCAAATTCAGCCCCTTTGAGTAAGCAAACACGTACCGTACGTACGCATTATACATTTCATCGCTTCGGTGCTAATTTTCTGTACCTCTTAGGCTCTTACTCATCATCCTCAAGACTCAAAAGATAAGTCACGACGATGTGCGGTACATGCGACCAGTTCCTGCCAAACCGTGGACGATGTCAGTCATTTGCGTGCCGTGAATTACGTGACCTCTCTCTCCCTCATAGGAGTATTTGTTCGGGAAAAAGCGTACGACTATAATTTTGCATCAGGATTTCGTGACGCTGGGGGGCTTAGCCATATCCACGTACCTTCAGCAGCTGCGAAGGCTCTATCTCCGCAGCTTGTGCTCTATCCGGAATTCAGGATTTCTTACGTACATATCCGGCCGGCGTGAATAACGTACCACACATTTTTGTTGTCGTCATCTGGCTATCGTCACTGGCCTTTTGCTTGTACACAAGAGGAGAATAACGGGTAGTCAAAGTCACCCCGATGCCCAAGTGGCTGGTATACGTATGTGCAGTGTGTGATCATGATGGTGTCCGATCTTGCTTTGGACTCTTGTTACCGTGCCGGCTGCTGGGTGCTGATCCGGAAGCTCTAGGCAGGCAGATAGTGGCGAATTTGTACAGGTACGAGTTGAGCGCTACTGGTTCGTCAGCGCATCAGTCAC